ATTTAATCACAAATGTAAATTATAGTTAGATCTTTAAAATGTAATGGGGAATTTCAGTATTTAATAGTGCATTTCATTTCTTCCAGTTTTTAATTATATATATAAAAAAATAATTCAACTTTATTGATCTCACATCGAAGAAATTTACAGTCTGTATGGCCCCTCCCTGGATCTATACACTCAAAAAAAAAATCATGCAACTGCTTTTGGCATTTACTCAGTCATATTTAATTACTTTAAAACAATTGTTTCATATTAGCAGGGTAGGGCATAAAACAGTTGTGTTAAAGTAACTAAATATAGTTCAGTAAATGCCAACTGGAGTTGCATTTTTTTTTCAGTGTAGAGCAGGGGCCAAATCCACAACACATTCAATTTCTTTACTCTTATTTTTTATATAATACATATATATTTAATGATATTATATATGAAATGATATTATATATGAAATTATTTAATCACAAATGTAAAGTATAGTTAAATTTTTTATATTTCATGGGGCGTTTCGGTACTTAATAATGTATTTTATAATTTGCTGGTATTTTCAATATCTTTTTTTTTTCAGCTTTCACTTAAAAAAATAATTTTATTGAACTTTATTGATCTCACATTGGAGAAATTTACCTCTGCATTTAACCCATCTACTGGGGAGCAGCGGGCTGCCATCGTGCGGCGCCTGGGGAGCAATCAGAGGTTAAATGACTTCATTCTTATTTTTATTTATTCATAGAAAATGAAGGTAATATATACAATTTCATATATAAATATATATGTGACATTTAATTGTTTATATTATATACGAAATTATTATTATTAGATTTTTTTATATTTCATGGGGCGTTTCGGTATTTAAAAAGAGAAAAAAAATTTATTTTATTGATCTCACATTGGCAAAATTTACCTCTGCATTTAAGCCATCCTCTTGGAGAGCAGTGGGCTGCCATGATGGGGCACCTGGAGAGCAATCAGGGGTGGCAGTCTGTGGTAGTGGGTTTTGGACTCACAACCTAAGGACCCCAGGCTCTATGCCCTAATCACTAGACCACCACTTCCCTGATATCTGAACAATGTCTTGAATAACCAAATGAATAAATAAAAGTAGCATGTGTTTATTTCATGGGACACATTTTGTATTTTGATATATTTTGGCCCTCCATACATCTCAGGGATCACATTTCAGCGTTTCCAGTTTAGAAACCCGTCTTAGAGGGTAAACATCAAAGGTGGGAGGCAATAAATTCATAAATATGTACAAAAGTAAAAATAAAATGTAAAATATTTGATGTGCAATAGTTTCTAGCTCCAGCTCACCAGTTCTTCCTGGATCTACCTCTAGCTGCATGTGAAGCTTTTGGTCTTTTGAGTATTTGCTCCCTCTCCCCGTTCTATTCAAGCAGAGACAGAAGTTTGCAACCATGAATGGGAGAAAGAGGTTCAAGTCAGAAAACGGCTGTAGAGAGTCTGTGAAAACATCTTAATAAGCTCCACCCAACGACCCTCAACTGGATTTAAATCTTGACATTGACTAGGCCACTCTATAACCTTCACCATTCCACAGTTGCCATTTCTTGTGCTTTGGTTCTGTCCTGCAGAAATGTAACCCTACGACCCGCCTAATATCTGAAGGACCTGCAGGGTTTGGATTATCTTGGTTTCCATCCAACATTAACCAGCTTCCCTGTTGCTGGAAAAAGCTTCAACACGGCATGATACTTCCAACACATTCCCAATCTCATGACTGCAAGCTAGACTTTCTATGATTTTATTCTGGGGACATGCATTACATGCCTATATAGTGATGCTAGCCTAAAGAAAGAAGCTCCTCCAGAATTAATATGAGCAACTAGCAGCTTTTAATAGGTAATCCTGTCCCAATGCATGTAACTCATTAGGTTTAAGATCAGAGCAAACTTTTTTCCATTGGAATAGATAATTAAATTTAGT